ATCCATCCATCCATCCATCCATCCATCCATCCATCCATCCATCCATCTATCCATCTATCCATCTATCCATCTATCCATCTATCTATCTATCTATCTTACTATCCATCTATCCATCTATCCATCTATCCATCTATCCATCTATCTATCTATCTATCTTTCTATCTATCTATCTATGCGCTTTCTCTTGTATTAGTGCAGAAATGAAACCAATGCACCTGAAGGTTCTCGTCCGTTTACCTTTTGCCACTCGTTTGAAGGGTACGTAAGTAGACGTAGCCCTTCTCAGACCTTACCCAAGTTGTTCATGAAGACTAGACTCGCAAGTCACATTGACTCTAGACTGACTCTAGACTCTCCTAGACTCACAGTAGCCTTTCTCAGTCCTAGCCTTTCGACCCACGTGGTCGCCAGGAGACGCCCGCGCTGCCTGTGCCACTGTCTGAGCCGGTGGACCCGGTGGCGCCTGGCACCCTCTGGCGGTATCAGGCGTGTCACGCCACGTTGGTTCTTGCTGCTTCAACACATCGTTTCGTGAAGGTGGGGGTATAGCAGCTAATAGCGATGGCCTCCGACCTAATAGCGACGGCCTCCAACCTAGTCTGTTGGAGCATCTTCTGGGTATGTATATTTGTCCTTTTGCTTGCGCAGGTCAAAATCATCCTGGACAATCCAGTCCTTCAGGCTTCGATCTTCAGGATAATAGTAAGTCGTCGTGTAGTGTTTTGTCACTGATGATGCTGGCACGCCAGTTTTCTTGCAGGCAATCTTTACAACCAACTTGGTCCTGGCTTTGTTTCTTCCTGACTTTTGGGTCATTTTAGCTGCTGGGCTGCACAAACGGCTGAAGAACACACAGTGCTTTGCTTGTGTGTGGCAGATTGGGTTGTTGTTGACTGCACATTGTGTCAAGGTTGCTTGTGTCTTGGTCCTACCGAGTCCTACCTATTTGCCATGGAAGCTGTGGAACTCACCTGGAGCACCTAAACAAATAGTTGTCATTCTCCCTGCTTCGCCTCAATTTCTGGGTCCAAGCAAGAATGTTCTGACCAGCTTCATACAGTCCAAGACCTGACTGACACATTCATTCCTTCGAAAATGGCTCAGTGGAGTCTGGGCACCATCTACCTCGCTAGCCAAATAATCGTTGTGTTCACAAGCAGCTGGCTCACGACGAGAGAAGTGGCTAACTCAAGTCTCGGCCAACTCATCCAGCTAGTGACTCACCGTTTTATAAGCTGGTTCACCATCATTCACTGCTTGGCCAGGCGTCCTATGATGTAGCTCAGCTAACCACTCACCTGCAAGCTACTGCGGAGCTATCTCGAACATCACACAGCTAGCAGCTAGCTCAATGCTTGCAGGACATCACTTGCCTAGCCTCAGCTTGTTTCTCGGGAACACTTCTTGAAGGTGTGGTGTGCTCACTACGTTTTTATTCTTTGCAGTGATTGAGCACTGTGAGCAGGTAGGAGCAATGGCGCTACTAGGGGCTCTTGGCATCGCTACTAGGAGCAAGGACGCTACAAGGGGCTCCTGGCCAAACTACTAGGAGCAAGGATGCTACTAGGAACAAGTGCCACGCTACTAGGAACAAGTGCCTTACTGGTAGTAACAAGAAGCTACTAGAAACAAGTGCCTTACTGGTAGTAACAAGAAGCTACTAGAAACAAGTGCCTTAATACTAGGAGCAAGGATGCTACGAACGGAGCAAACTTTCAGTTCCCCGCCCCGACGGTGAAAGAGACAGGTCGTTTGGGGTAACCAGTGGATATGGACAGTCCAAGTGGTCATCAGTCGTTAGATCTTCAGTATGTTTGATTGTGGTAGTGGGGGAATCAAGAATGAGAACTTTGTCAGATGCTGCCTAACCCTTCGTCAACAAAGCTTGGAAGACATTTTGCCGAAGAAGGTGAAGGACCCGCGGTTGAAGAAGCTGTTTATATAAGAAGAACAAATAATCCAAAACAGTTGGCCCAGTAAGACAGCTTGCTGCTGTGACCATCAAGGCTATGGCTGGGGATGGGGTTTTGGACAACGCGCTGGTCATCATTTTCTGCATATTCGTTCTGAGCTTAAGATATAATTTTGCATGAACGAAATGCCAACAGGTCGATCGCATACCGATGTGTTCCTTTCATTTATGTTTGGCTCATAGCAAATTGGGTTTTAAATTTCCAAGCTCGTCTTGCCTTGCCAGTTGCGATCATTCAGAGCCGGCATCATGGCAAATCCAGTTCTCACTGAAGATGCCGTGAACACTGGTGCAGTTGCATGGGTCTTGACCTCGGCAGCCTTGGTGTTCTTGATGACCGCCGGGCTCGGCTTCTTCTATGGTGGTTTGGTGCGCGATACGAATGTAATCAACACTATGATGATGAGTGTAGCTTCCATGGCCATCGTGTGCCTCACTTGGGTGGTTTTTGGATTTTCTTGGGCCTTCGGAGACAATGGTTCCACTGGCTTCGGGATGTTCGTGGGAAACTTTGACTACAGCCTGTGGATGAATCTGGACATGAAGATGTGGGGTGACTCCGGGCTTCCGGGCCTTTGCTTTGCAGCCTTCCAGATGACCTTTGCCATTATCGCCTCCGCAATCATCTCGGGGTCCTTGGTGGAGCGCATGCGCTTCAGCGCCTACTCCATCATGTTGGCCTTGTGGTCCTTGCTAATCTATGCGCCGCTGTGCCATTGGGTCTGGGGCACCGGTGGCTGGATCGGTGCGATGGGAGCCCTCGATTTTGCTGGAGGCAGCACCAGCGTGGATTCTGTGGCAAAAAATTGGGTTTGCACAAGCGAAATTGTTCGGTTCTCACACTGTTGCATATTCAATTCCAGGCTGTGTTCCGCGAAGCAAGTCGGTTTGTTAGAGTCTGGTTGGACTGTGTTTTATCACATGTGACACCCCGTCAAGTAATGGCGATCAACGTTGCGGGCCCTGTGGAGGAACTGTCGTTCATATCAGCTCTGGTGTGTCTGGGCTTGTTGCCGGTGCCATCGTCGGACCCCGAAGACATGTGGAGAAAGAGCTGGGGCCTGCCAACGCGCCCTTCGTGATCTTGGGTGGAAGCCTCCTTTGGTTCGGCTGGCTGGGCTTCAATGGTGGATCAGCTTTGTCAGTGAGTGACGGTGTGGCGGCCCGCGCTGTGGCAACCACCTTTGTGGCTGCGGCTTCCTCTATGCTGAGCTGGTTGATGCTTGAGCGGCTTCTGAAAGGCAAATCCTCCAGTGTTGGAGCCTCTGTCGGGGCGGTCGCCGGACTTGTGTGTATCACTCCTGGAGCTGGCTTCGTGACACCCGGTTGGAGTATTGCTATTGGTGCTTTGGGTGCTGTTTGGTGCTACGTCTCTGTGGAGATCGTGAACAAGGTGAATCTGGTAGATGACACTTTGGATGCCTTTGGCTTGCATGGCATGGGTGGAATCGGTGGGGCCATTTTGACAGGTATCTTTGCTTTGGATGGTGGCCTGATCTATACCGGAAGCTTTGAGTTGCTGGGCAAGCAGATTGCTGGTGCTATGGCAGGTGTGGCCTTCTCAGCGACTGGTACCGCCATCATTGTGGTGGCACTGAGGTTGGTGATGAAGTTGCGAATCCCTGAAGAGCAGGAGGTGGAAGGTGTGGACCAGCACACACATGGCGAGACCTACCACAGTCCAGTGAAGAAGTATCCTCAGGCGAAGGCCTCTGAGTCTAGTGAAGTGTCGGACACTGTGTAATTCTTCCCAACTGGCTCATGTGCTTGGAGTTGTGCACATTCTAATTCGCTGATATTTACTGTGCAGTTTTGACAAGGGTGGAGTCCTTGTTCATGCACTTCGTGCGTCTTACTTAAGCTCTCTACGAAGATGGAGTGCTTGCTGATGTGCACGTGGTTGCACTTCAGTGTGTTTACGTTCGCTGTCCACATCACAAGGATGGACTAGCGCTGATGAGCACCAATGCAGGATCTTTGGTGACGATGCCATGGATTTCTTGCTGAAAACAGATCTATCAGCTTACTTTCATTCCCATTTCAATGCACAACCAAGCAGGCTCGACATATTAGTAGCTCTCACCGATTGAAGCAAGGATCATGATCCCTCCGGCCAGTAAGGTTAGTCCAATATGATGGCAGATATGCTGGTGTGACACATCAAGCATCAGTGAAACGACCTTGATATATATATATATATAACACATAACTAACACCATTTCAAGATTCATTTGTCAGCCTATCGTGTCCCTGTAAGACCTAAGGTCGCGGAGTTTGCCGCGAATATCGTGGCTCACGGGGATGCTTATGTGAACAAGTCCGAGCCTTTTTTCCAGGTCGCTAGGGGGTCTGCCCGGACTGGCCAAGTGTCACTCATCAGGGTGTGGGAAACGAAACGGCATTCAATGTCTTCAGTCATCCTGGGTCCTTGTGACACCTTCAGCACCGAAAGTCTGGAACTTCAAGGTATCCTTTCTGGACCGACATTGTTGGCATCCTCTCAGTTCCTTGGGACCATTCCCTGGTTGCAGACAACTTTGTGGACATCTTCGAGGCGAGTCCCACGCTCTCGTTTCGGACACGTACTGTATTCAATTCATGTCACCATGTCATTTTGGATAGCTTTGAACAGGCTTAATTTCTTTGCCAAGGATTGTGCACTTATTATTGCCCAATAATTTTGGAGGCTAATTTAGTTGCGACATGTTTTTGCATTTCCTTTTGGCCGAACAAGCAGGCGACTGGAAGCTTTGCTTGATGTTTGGATTTGTTGCAAGTGCCTCCAGCCAGGCCTCAGGTCTGGCGCGTGTGACCAAGTTTGCCAAGCTGAGTGCCCGGGCGGTCCGGTTGTCAAGGTGGGTGTGTGAGGGAACGCTCGGAAGACTTCATGTGACAAAGCTGCTAAGAGGTGGATGACATGACAGGTGTTTGCGATGAGAACTATATACTGTACATGATTCACAAGGTTCATGACATTCATGACATGAACTAACTGGCTATGATGCTATCAGAGCCTTTCAGAGCCATGACTTCATATGAGGTTCAAGTCAGTTCACGTCTTCAAGTTGGAAACAAGAAGGTCCTGTGTGACTGTTCCAAGAGTTGTCCGGTTGAATTCCGTTGCAATAGTTTCTGAATCGTTCAAAGGCGCAAAGTAAAGATCAGCAGCGATCAGGCTAGCGAAGCTCTTGCGCTTTTTCCCGGGCTCACGTGATGGCGAAGGTCCGTGTCTGTCGCTCCAATGAGAGGGCCGTGTCGGGTGGCCAACCAAGACAGCAGATGCTACAGATGTCGGGTATGCTTCTATAACATAAGTACTGTTTGATTCTTTTCTGCTTGTTCAAAAAACCCGTTAGGACAAGCGTGCTCAGAGAGTAAGAATGCAGTTGTTGCAAGGATCGTGTGAAACTAATGAGTACTTGAAAGTTTGCATGCACAGCAGAGGAATTTTGAGTCAGTGCATGTGCAATTTCATGCAATTCGCTAGACCCGATCCTTCCATGTTTTCCGGGCCATTTGCTCTTGATTTTATGAGTTTTCCCAGTGCTCTCCAGGAAACAACGACGCTCAAGGCATCCCGGCCCGACGGTATGGATGAATCCACGTGCGATCCTGGGGTGTTCTGTGTTCCGCGATTCCTGTGGTCCAAGTGGATCATGTAATTCCAGGAGCTACTAATAGTGTCGTTGCTACTAGTAGCGTTGCCCTTGGTTACTAGTTACTAGTAGCTTTTTGTTCCTAGATGTTCCTAGTAGTAATGCCGCGTCCAAGTGGCAGAAGCGACCTTTGGATCTTTGGCGGTCGGCCGGCTCACCTTTTGTACTCGTCTTGTCACAGACTTCTCCGAAGATCCTTCACCAAGTTTTCGTCCATAAACCTCATCCAACTTCATAAGCTTGTATTCTCCTGCAAAGGTTTGGACGAAGCTGTCGCTTCGTCTACGTCGTCTACGTTGCATGCCTGCAGCAACTTGAGTAAAGCTATGTAAACCAAACCACCGTCAATAATGTTTCCTGTTTCCTTGTGGAGGTTTGTTAGCGGGCTGCTAAACTCTTTTGCCCTCCTTGAGAGCCATTAACATACCATCCTAATAAATAAAGCCAGACTATAGATGTAGGCAAAGTGTTGAGTCGTAAACACACCATGTTCTTTTCTTTTAGTGTAGAATTCAGGGATTCCCGATTCCTGCAGAACTGAGCGGTCAAATTCGAATAGACGGTCCTTTTGTTGTTGGCATTGAACCCTGCAGCAATCCAATGCACTCCACTGGCTGCCAACACCTTTCTTCAACGGGTGTTTGTCTTCTCAAAACTCTGGTTGCCGGGCATGACTAGAACCCTCCAACTTGGTCGAAAACACTTGACACAGTGTCCAGGTCCAGCGAAAGGTATTTCAATGGTCGGCCTCTCAGCCTCTCTGCTCCATTTCCTGTAATGTTATTGAATATTGACTTTTTAGTGACCGTTGGCCGTGGCTCCCTGCGAGGAGCTGATGTCAAGTTTGTCTGTGAAGGCTGGGCGAATGTAGCTATTTAACTAACCATACTCATTGCGCGCAATTCTGGAGACTCAATTGGCCTCTCTGCTTTCAGAGCTCGTCACGTGGGATTGTGCGACAGATGGTCAAAACTTCTGAGATTAAGGGTGATTGCAAGTGTTCCAGATGGGACACCCAGCAACTTCTCGCTATTCGCTATGAGTACTCACCTTCTTCCGCATTCTCGGAAAGGCTCCAAGGGGGGAGTGCGTCCACTCCTGAAGCTGGGAAGCGTCCAGGTCGCGATCCTTATCATCGTGCTTGCGCTCCTTCTGCCGATGATCGACTTTTTTCGATGGCCTCCGCTGGGTGCATAGTGCTTGGCTGATCGGTGGGGACACAGAATACCTGCGCAGGAGGGCTGCAGGGTTGGTGTTGACATTTCTCCACCAGCCAAAAGACTTTCCGATGACAAATGCACAAGAGTCACAACAGGGAAGGTTTCACTATTCCCTAAGAGTCCTAGAGGGATCGCCTGGCCCATGCCCCATATCGTACATCCCAACTTGGATCCAATCAGTTTCAATGAACGGCCGAGGGACGACTATTCCTTGGATACCTGGGCAGCTCAAATCCATTGGACCTCCAAGTGGTTGGCCTCAGTTCTCAGCGTTTTTCTTGAAGACGGTGAAGCCCCTCCCCCTGTGCCCTGCCCACCTATCTCAGGACGTTCCCCGAGGATACAGTCACAGTCTGGCTCTTGGACTCTGGAAGACCTGGTTGACAAACCTTGCAAAGAAAGGTGACTTGGGAATACTTCTTGGGAATACTTGGGAAATGGGACTCTTTCAACGTCATTGCAGTGGACAGGGCCAAGTCCATCACTTGGATGTCTCAAGGCCGTGGAGGACATGCGGAACTTCTACGAAGCCCGCGCCCGAGATTTCTCAAGACTGTTGTCAATCATGGTGCTGTTTCTCGCATGTTTGACACCTCTTTTTGGCTGTATCAACATGTGTACCCCTTCTGATGACACGAATTTCCACACCCCTTCTGGAGAGCGGGCCATGGGGGGTGGGAGCTCTGAAGGCTCTACAATGCTGATGGTACTGTTATGCAAAATACCGATACTCGCTATAGGTGTTGTGAACTTACCCAGAATCATGCTTCCGGCCAAAAGCTCACTGCAGAACTGCCCGAAGCAGTGCAGCGAGGTGCTGACGTACTTCCCCTTTGAGGTGACCTACAACTATGCCAACAACACCCAGATTGTCATCGTCCACTGCTCGGAGAAGACTCACGCGCTGTCCCATGCTCCCAGAATCTCCGAAGCTACAAGCTGTTACTATAGTAGCGTCCTTGCTCCTAGTAGTAAGGCCAGGAGCCCCTAGTAGCTTCTTGTTCCTAGTTGCCAGGAGTCCCTAGTAGCGTCCTTGCTGCTAGGCTAGGCAAAGTTGTGGATTTGCGAAACAAGTGAGTAGGGCAGCTTGGGGGGTGGACGCGATGGAACTGCATAGAGTGGTTGGGCACGGTGTCCGGCGGAGGGGGTGATACTTCCGGTCGGTGGGAAGGGATGGTGGTTCCCCGAAAACTTGCTTGGCACTGTAATTACTGACCTGCCGCTCCAACATTTTGGCAGCGCTACATCAGCAAATGGCGCTTTCGCGCCTGGGAACCTGCAGTGTTTTGTGAACAGTGATCTGCTTTCTGCCGCAAAAGTCTGGACATTGCGTTTCACATTTGCGCCCAACGGCCCCAAGCAAAGTTTTGAAGCCAAGCAATCTTTTCAAAGGCCTTTGAAGAAGCAGTCCCACGAATGGTGAATTTGGGGGCTGGGCCCTAGCCCGCAAACTCTGGAAGTCGCCACAGTACAGCCTGATCAAATAAATGCACCTAAAGCTACTAGCAGCAAGGACGCTACTCTTAGGTGGAGGCCATCGCTACTAGTAACAAGAAGCTACTATGGTGTGCAGCTTTTGTGGTGCCCACCTTCTTCATGCACCGCAACTGACGGCTTGGGGGCTGTGAAGGAGGGTTTTTTGGGCTACTGTACCCAACCGACAAAGGTCTGATGAAGTGGTTGCCCTGGGAAGAAAGAGTGGAACACACGTTACGTTTGGTGGCCACTGCGTGCGAGTCCTCCAGCAATCACAGAAGGTGTCAGGAGGATGCGGGGGCATCAATGCGGCCCGTGCAAATTCTTTGCATTCCTTCCAATGTCGTCTGCATCTCTCACTGCCTTTTCTGATGCTTGTGGACCTCGCCTCGTTGTGGAAACCAACGCCGACATTTTTGAGCACATTCGTTTGAATAGTCGGGCAAAAGCCCCAGAGTGCTTGTTTTGATGTTCGTAGGTTGTAGAATATTTGAGTCGGAAGCAAAGGCTTTAGAGATGGTGGAGGTAGGTGGCAGTGCAGATGATAGTAGTTTTGCATAATAAGGGACGTTATGACAAGAAAAAATCGATTCAAGATGGGTGGATTTGTGAGCGAAGTTGTGAAAGATGCCAGTAATATGCTGTGAATCCAATGAATTATCATCAAAATGAAGGTGCAACGGCATGCGCAGGCTTTTCGCGCAGTGAAAGGGTCTTGTCACCCCACCTTATGGCATGTTCCATGGACTCAAAATGTGAGTACGATCACAGGTGATCCCGTGTTCACTGATGCACTCTCTGTCAATTTGTGGCCCACAAACCGGTCATCTCGCGCCGCTACTCGGGTTCGAATGCAGGGCCCTTGAGTCACGTCCATAGACTACGCAAAAAGGGGCTTTCATGTCCACACCTCACTTTGTGTTTTCCCCCACTGACCTCGAGCGCATTGGGGACCTGACCTTGGTTTGTTGACCTAGGTTTTCACATTGGTAGCGGAGCCGACAATACGTCGGCTCCCGGGGCGGCCGCGCGAGAGCCATGTCACATGAGACCTCCACTGGGAGGCAACCGGACTCCGCATCCGACAAGTTTTTCGTTCCAAGACTTGACAATACCACTGTTGGATACAAGGAGTGGCGCAAACGCATTCAGTTGTATGCACACCGCCAAAAGTTGCAGGGCAGAGAAAAGGAGACAGCGTTGAATGTTCTTTCAATTTTGGAAGGCGCCTCATGGCGTCAATGCGAGGATCTGGAGATCAGCAAGTTAGCAAAAGAAGAAGGCATTCTGGCTATCCTGAGAAGGTTGGACGCTCAGTGGCAATATGACGAGAAGGTCGAGATGCCAGAGGCATTTGAAAAGTTCTTTTTCGATGGTCAGGCGGCAGGGTCAATCCCTCCTATAGAGTACTGCACAGAGTTCAATCAGTCGCTTCGAGAGTTGATGAAATACAAGATTGCACCACCGCCAGAAGTGACTGGGTGGCTGATGTTGAGACGGGCTGCATTGACAAAGGAACAGCAGACCATGGTTCAGACCCACATTGGCACCACATTGACATTGACGGCAGTTGAACCAGCATTGTATTTGTTTTTTGGGCAGGATCATCGACATGCTCATGTCGCTCAACGCCGGATTCCGATGCAACAGCAAGGACGATGGAAGAACCCCCGACTCATCCATGCAGTTACTGAGGAAGCCGATGCAGAGGGTGACTGGGAGTATGATCAGGCATATTTTGAGGACGATGGCATTGAGGCCTGGCCTGAGGACGACGGTCCCTATGACACATACTGGCAGGAGGACGATGATTCAGCTTCTTCACAGCAACAGAGGCGGATGAATCGTTGTTCGATACAGAAGAGGTCGATGAGATCTATGTAGCGTACACGGATGCAAAGCAGAGGATGCAACACCTGAGGCAGGCTAGAGGATTTTACCCAGTTGCTGCAATGGTTGATCAACGACAGATGCCGTTCAGTCCCTCATCTTCGCAAGCCTCTTCTACACAGTCCATGGAGGAGGCAAGAAAGGTAAAAGCAAGAAGGGCAAGAGTGGCAAGGGCAGCTCATCATCTTCGACAAGTGGCAAAGGCAGCCAACTGCCAGAGCAAGTCCTCATCTCCGTCGAAGAAGCGAGTGCTAGAAGACGGAGACCCACTCTTGGCTGGCATGGTCATGACAGCAGAGACGCAGTTCCATGACATTGAGGAGGAGGAGGAGGAGGAAGAGCAGTTCTATGACATTGAGGAAGCCTGCACCCAAGGTGACCAGTTGGTCAGGGCTGGAGGTTGGCTTACAGAGAAGCCTGATGTTGCGACGCAGGACCAGGGAGCAAGCAGCTTTTTGCTTGGCACTGAATACCTCCTTCGATACCTTCGCTGGTTGCAATACAAGGGTTTTGACCTCAGTGGCTTGGAGTTCAAGCGTTGTGACAAGCTGTTCCGCTTTGGAGGAGATGCAGAGGGTTGTTCCCGTTGGATGGTGGCACTTCCTGTGCTGATAGAAGGCGTCGCAGGACGCATCCTGGCGTTCATCATCTTTGGTGCGACTCCCATGCTACTCGGTCGTCCCATTCTGGAACGACTGCAGGCGGTTGTGGACTTTGGTGGCAATCGCATGAAGATCATGGGAGGACCTTGGAGAGACATTGAGCGTGGAAAGCAAGGGAGTATGTTGTTGCAACTATGTCAACAGCTACAAGACCCCCAACAGTTGGACAATCCAGTCTTCGACTTGCGGAGTGAGGATGACCATGACATGAACTTCAAGACCTTCTTGCAGGACATGAGGGCACACGATCGCTTTGAAGAGATGTCCACCGAAGTGGAAGGCTTGGCGGAGGAGGCCGAGCGTGAGAAAAGGGAGGAAGGCTATGAGAAGACTTTTTGTGGCGTGTGAGTTGCAGTTGGAGGAGATCAAGAAGAAGCAGAGACAGACGCTCAATGAGGCCCGACCAACAGCCAGACGTAGGAGAATCATCTGAGAAGTCTATGCTGGCAGAGGACGGTTTAGTATTTAGAGAAGAGTGCCAACGTCGCGGTGCTGAAGTCAGGCGCTTTGGGCTGGCAGATGGTTGGGATTTCAGCAAAGCAAAACATCGTAGAGCCTTGTTGGAGCTACAAATGGAGGAGGAACCGGATGAGATTTTCATGTCTCCAAAGTGCACCTTGTGGTCTGCAATGCAAAGCATCAACGTGAAGACGGAAGAAGATTGCATTGAGTTGCAGGAGAAGCGTACCATGAAGTACACTTGAAGTTTTGCCGGCGACTCTACATGAACCAGGCCAAACATGGCCGCCGCGCACACATTGAGCATCCAGGCAAGTCCATGGCAGACACCAGCATTCCAAAACCTACCAGGGATGCGTGTCACCTTTGACCAATGTGCCTATGGAGCAGTCACATGGACTGACGATGGCGACCGGGCACCAATCCAGAAGACAACAACCATCCAAACCACCAAGCAGGCCATGGTGTGGCACATGTCTCGGCGACGCAGCAAGGACCACCGTCGTCAACCACTTGAAGGAGGACACCGTTGCAGGGCAGCTGAGGACTACCCAGAGACCTTGGCAAGGCACCTTGCAGAAGCAGCCATGACAGAAGAAGGATCGCATGAACAAGTCTACGCTGTTGGACAGGAGGAGCAGTTGACCGGAGTGCTGAGGAAGCTTGGCACCAAGCGCGGCAGTGAAGCAGTCAGAATCGCCTACAGACTGCACAGGAACCTCGGACACCCAAGACCTGATATCCTCCTCGAGCTGCTCAAGGACAAGCCAGTTGACCCCAAGGTTCTCAATGCCATCCGAGACCTGGAATGCCCTACTGCAACACCTTTGCAGTGAAGAAGGCCTCAGTACCAGCCCACCTTGACCGAGCCAAGGAGTTCAACGTCCATGTGCAGGCTGATGTGTTGTGGCTTGATTTGGACACGTTGGAGGATTTCCAAGAGAAGGGCAAGAAGAAGAATAGAAAAGTTGGAATCCTCGTGATGGTCGATGAGGCCACCAGGTACATGATGGCTCGTACGATTCCCCACGATCAAGCCCAGAGAGTGCAGGTGTTCACGAAAGAACACAGCCTGAGAGATCTTGCAGGACTACGTGACGCCTTGAATTGGGTAGTTCCAGCTCTCAGTCAACGGCTTCACGCCAACTCAGCTTGCGTTGGACCGACAGCCAAATCTTCCTGGACTGCTGTCAGATGAAAAGACCGCGGCCAATCAGTTGCAGATGGGAGAGCAAGAACGACTACACCGACCTCTCCGGTTGAAGTTCTCAGCACAGTCCGCATGCGCCAAGGCCGAAGTTGACGTGAAGTTGAGGAGAGCCTTGTTGAGAAAGTTCACTGGAAAAGAGGAGCTGCGTCCTGGAGAACGATGTTTGTATTGGAGAGAGGC